GAAGGAAGGAAGGAAGGAAGGAAGGAAGGAAGGAAGGAAGGAAGGAAGGAAATGAGAAGGGAGGAAAAGATGGGAATGAGAGGGAAGGAGGAAGAAGATGGGAATGAGGAAGAAAGGAAGGAGATGGGAATGAGAAGGAAGGAAATGAGAAAAGGGAAGAAGATGGGAATGAGGAAGAAAGGAGATGGGAATGAGAGGAAGGAAGATGGGAATAAGGCGATGGAATGAGAAGGAAGGAAGGAAGGAAGGAAGGAAGGAAGGAAGGAAGGAAGGAAGGAAGGAAGGAAGGAAGGAAGGAAGGAAGGAAGGAAGGAAGGAATAACATCATGGGAATGAGAAGGAAGATGGAAGTGAGAAGGGAGGAAGGTGGGAATGAGATGGAAATGAAAAGGGAGGAAGATGGGAATGAGAAGAAAAAGATGGGAATGAGAAGGAAATGAGAAAAGGGAAGGAGGAAGATGGGAATGAGGAGGAAAGAAAAGATGGGAACGAGATGGGAATGAGAAGGAAGGAAGGAAATGAGAAAAGGAAGAAGGAAGATGGGAATGAAAAGGAAAGGAGGATGGATGTGGGAATGAAAAGGAAGCTGGGAATGAGGAAGGGGAAGAAGATAGGAGAAGGGAAGGAAGGAAGGCCAGGCAGGCATGAAGGAGAATGGAGGGAGGGAGAAAGATAGGAAGAGGAAGGAAGGAGATGGCAATGGGAGGGAGGGAGGAAGCAGTGGGGCTCCTGGGCTTCCTAATTCTCAACCTTCCTGGAAACGGAGTTACAGCTGCCCACAGACTGGTCGGTTTCTGGTTCTGTGTCCAGGCGGTGAAACATCCCCAAATCCAGGCAGTCCTCGTCTTACAACGGGGTTCATTGAGCGACTGTTCAAAGGTACTAAAGTGACACTTTTCAACGCGGAAAAAAGGGGACTAATTGCAGCTTTTCATTTATGTCCGTTGCAGGATCCCCGGGGTGTGTGTGTGTGTCACCTGATCCAAATTCAGACGCTTGGCAACCGACTCAAGATTTATGACGGCTGCAGTCTCCTGGGAGTCACGTGATCCACTTTTGCCACCTTCTGACAAGCGAAGCCGGATTCACTTTAACCACCCTGTTGCTCACTTAAGGACTGCAGTGATTCGCTGGCAAGGAAGCTTGTAAAAACTCCCTTAACAAATGTCCCACTTAGCTTGGCCTCAATTACGGTCGTTAAGGTCGAGGACTGCCCTAGTCATCGTTTGCTAGCTGCAAGCCAGAGACCTTTCAGAAGGGCCGTGTCATCTCAGAGTCCCGTGCCGAGGGAGTGAAGTCGGCAAGGACACTTTTCAAATCATTTCTACTACCCTTTGATCTTACGGCTGGCAAAGCCACCCGGAGTGGCCTCACCGGCGCGACGGGAGGCGTATAAATTTAATAAATAAAGAAGTATAAACTGCCACCCACCATTAACGAGGGATAGAATCAAGATCAGGTGAAGTGTTAATACCACTTTACAAGGCCTTGGTAAGGCCACACTTGGAATACGGCATCCAGTTTTGGTCACCACAATGTAAAAAAGATGTGGAGACTCTGGAAAGAGGGCAGAGAAGAGCAACAAAGATGATTAGGGGACTGGAGGCTAAAACATATAAGGAACGGTTGCTGGAATTGGGTATGTCTAGTTTAAGGAAGAGAAGGACGAAGGGTGACAGGATAGCAGTGTTCCAATATCTCAGGGGCTGCCCCAAAGAAGAGGGAGTCAAGCTCTTCTCCAAAGCCCCTGAAGGCAGGACAAGAAGCAACGGATGGAAACTCATCAAGGAGAGAAGCAACTTAGAACTAAGGAGAAACTTCCTGACAGTGAGAACAATTAACCAGGGGAACAACCTGCCTCCAGAAGCTCTGAATGCTCCAACACTGGAAGTTTTGAAGAAGAGACTGGACAGCCATTTGTTCGAAATGGTATAAGGTTTCTTGCCTGAGCAGGGGGCTGGACTAGATGACCTCCAAGGTCCCTTCCAACTTTTTATTATTATTATTAATTATTATTATTATTATTATTATTATTATTATTATTATTATTATTATTATTATTATTATTATTATCCCGCAAACAAAGGACCGGAGAAGCGAGGTAACGTTCAGTCACAAGAAAAACATCTTTAATGTTGACAAGATCTCGTACAGGACAGTTTTGGTCGGATTCGCGTGCTAGTCGCCCACATTTCCAAAGGCTTCGGTCGACAAAAGGTTCCAAACAAGCTACTTTCCAAAGGAGGGTTAGGTAACACAATGATCGGGACTAGCTTTCTCTCCCCCACCCCACCCCCTGCCCCTTCCCCACCCCTCAAATAAAAAAAAGAGAGACTTTCCACAAGGTTCTTTCACCAGTCAGGAACAGGCAAAGAAGTGGAAGCCACCAGTTCCTGGGAAAAGGACTTAAAACTCCAGACACAATGCAAACATATATATAT